TCAAATTTGTAGTTTTCTTTATTGGTTTTGAGTGTTTATCTTAAAACTCAAGTTTATTGGTTATTTGCTCTTTGTGTAAATCGAACACATTTGTGGAGTCGTTTAAATATGTTGGATTTTAAACTGATATACAATTTTTTTCATCGATAGTCTGTTATTGGAACCATAACTCTTATTTATTCAAATTGTATTAATATGTAAAGACCAAGTGTAACCTATATCATCATTAAATCTTATCTTATAAAACCAGTGGAACTTCAAAATAATTCATGGATTCCGCCATATTGCGTGGATATACAACTAGTTAAATATTATGAATACTTACGAATTATTTTTAGTACTTATATCTTATACCTCTACGTTTACAGATTAAATAAAAAATCATAAGGGTAGAAAGGGTAATTTTTAAAAATAATTCTAATGTATTTATATGATATTTAATAATATAATTAAAAACAAAAAAATATCCAATATTATGTTCATTTTGAACGTATTTACGATACGATTATAATGGTGTAAATTGTAAAAAAAAATGTATGTTTTGTATTTTAGTTAATATATACTTATATGTATTAATATAATAAATGTGTAAAATAAAAAAAAAAGATATAAAATAAATTAAATAATTAATCAATAAAGGTATAAAATATAATTTTTTTAACCAACTAGAAACTTTACACAGAAAATGGAATTTCAACGTAAAATCCCATTTTTCTGTCCAAGGTCCCCTTTTTAATTTCTTTTTCTTTTTTTCTCTTTGAAAATAAATTTTAGGCAGAAAAAGTTTATGCGTAAAGTTTTTATTTTATTTTATTTTAAATTTTGACTATTTAAAGAAAATGATTTCGAAGATAGCTAAAAAGTGAAATCATTTTAGTGAATTGGCTATTTATATAAACTTTCCTTCTCTTACGGGACCGGAGATAGGGATGAAATCTTATTCTTGACGGGGATTGGAAAGTGAGGACGGGGATGGGGTTTGCAATCCCGATTCCCGAATAATCTGGCCCAATTGCTATCTCTATATCCAACTAGATATTAGGAGTTTTCCGAACAATATTTGACATATATAATATTATTATGATAAAAGAAAAGGATAAAGTTATATAAAATCATTAAGGATCCGTTTGGTTTCAATGAACGGAATAGAATTGGGGGAAGTTGGATTACAAATCCATTCCAATCTCATGTTTGGTACATATGATTGTTTTGAAATTTCAAGATTATGTCGAAATCCTTCAAACATAGGATTTTTGATATCGGTCAAAAGTGGATGAGATTTCACGTAATTTCGTAATATTGTATATGATAATGTTTTAAAGTATGTTTAAAATATTTATTTTCTTATAATTGATTAATAAAAAAGTAGCTTAATTATTTTATAATTATTTATAAAAAGTGGAATTCCATATCAATCCAAGTTCATCAAATCAAACACATTAAAGATTCCAAATTCCTACAATTCCAACTCCTTCAAAATCATTTCATCAAACAAACGTGACCAAGTTTCTATTGTTTCTTCCATGTGGATAATCCCACAAAATTCCAATAATCATATATCATGTATTTCTTGTAACTAGAAAAGTACTCGCGCAATGCAGCGACACACATCTCGATTTTAATATTCTATTTTATTATTTGTCTTTGTTGATGTTATAATACG